TCTGGGGGAAAAAATTAAAGATTGAGAGACAAATAGTGATAGAAGGAGGAGTTAATTCTGTGCCATTTGAAAGAAGCAGATAAAATAGTTACTAGTGTAGCTTAGCCTACTTTGTCTTACATATATAATGGAAATAGTTAAATCTTTAACAGAATAACAGAGTTGGAAGGGACCTTGGAGGTCTTCTAGTCCAACCCCCTGCTCAGGCAGGAAACCCTATGCCATTTCAGACAAAGGATTATCAAATCTTTTCTTAAAAAGCTCCAGTTTTGGAACATCCACACCTTCTGGAGGCAAGTCAGTCTATTGGTTAATTGTTCTCACTGTTAGGAAATTTCTCCTTAGTTCTAGATTGCTTCTCTCCTTGATTAGTTTCCATCCGTTGCTTCTTGTCCTGCCTTCAGGTGCTTTGGAAAATGGCTAAAACCAAACTACATTTAATTTTTTTAAAAAAGATCAAGAACCATTTCAGTATTTTATCTATGTATCGTGGATTCAATAGTCATGAAAAAAGAACTCTCATGCAGGTGTCTCCTTTCCCTTCATTTCATTTCTTGAATGAGATATGTTCTATGTAAAATCATTGTCTATTGAGCAAATTTGCACTGAATAAATTCAAGTCCTATTAGAGAGAAAGAACAAGAAGTAGAAATATTTAATTCTTTGCTACCATCTAATCTATATCTGTTGCCCAGATATGATAGCTCTATAATTATGCCAAATTAGTCCTATGACTTAGTATGATTTATTACAGGTCGTGTGTAACTTACAACCATTTGTTCCATAATTGTTCAAAGTTACAACAACACTGAAAAAAATAACATGTCTGTTTTTCACACATGATGTTGAATCACAGGGTCCATATCTACTGCACATATCAACCAAAATGTAACAGTTAACCCAAGAATACAGTTAACCCCAAATCTAGTCCTACTCCTATATGGATTCAAACCAAAATTAACTGCATAATTAACACAACCCTAAGCTGCACTTTATTGGGAAGCAAAACCTACTTTGTGCGTTATGAAATAAATAATAGCTTAATCATGCTTTTAATTTTTGTGGAGTTATAAAATCAGTGCCTTGAATGTAGGAAAAGGAATTCCCTAAAATGCAGCCACAATCTGTATTTGCTCCCTTTTTCTAAAAGGTTTTATTTCTATGTGGTTTTAAAATCATTTTTTCAAATGAAGGGGAAAAAAACAACTTAAATCCTAGCAGCCCCAGAGTGATTAATTTAATCCTAATCCCAACTCTAATCCTATTTGGATTCAAATAAGGCCTAAGTGAAGTAAAAATCATAGACAGCTTTACCTTTTGTAAAAGTTAAAGAAACATCATTTGCAAATCTGCTTGAAAATACACCCACTGTCATGCATCCATCCCACTACACCCACACCCATATGTTTGCAAATTTAGCTGATTACACAAATACACAAATGCATGTAAACATTTTGAAGCATGACCTTTTTAAGCTTTTTCCACCTTCCTCCAGCATACACACAGCAACCAAACAAGCAGTGAGTATCCAACAATGATATTTATTATTGACATGTCTAGACATGTCATAACCATAATTCTAGGCATGTATACAAGTCAGTCATGGAATATAAAAAGGGGAGGATGGGGTGGAGTGTCCAGGCATGTCTAGGTAGAACTTGCGCATGTCCAGACATGTTAAAGTTGTGACATGTCTGGACATGTGCATACACTTGTGTACATAGAAACTAATTCTGTATGTGCATACATAATATTTCATCAACTTCACCAAATGTGAGGAATGATTGTGTTGAATGCCAAACTAAAATCAACAAACAGCATTTGTACATGAGTATTTGTCTGCTCCAGGTGTGCCAAACTAAGATGAAGTACACAATTGGGATAGGCAGCATAGCAGGTTAATAAATAAACAAGAAGTAATTCCACTGAATTCCATGAGTCTTACTTCCAGTTTATTGGAACTAGGAGTGGAGTTGTATTTTCACATCCAGTTTTAATCAATACCTGTCAAGGTATGAACAATGGAGGATAACCAACTTCTCAGTTCTCTGTATCGGCTTGGTTTTAATATGGATTCTTTTAAAAGCCTGAGAACAATTTAAGTTAAATTAAATGAAAAGTTGACTCAAGCCATGTTAGAGATATTTAAACTATAGATGTAGAATATGAATAGTTTTCATCTATGAATATAATAATTTCCAGGAAATATTTAGTTTTTTCCACCTTTCAATTATTTATCCCTCTAGTGACTATTCTCTACACAAGAATTGGAGAGACTAGATAAAGGTTGTAGTGGAGTGTGCATTCACTCCTAGCAATGGTGTGCTTCCTTCTCAAGGAGCTATCACTGGATTCCTCCATTCTAGGAATTTCTCTCCTTGTGTGGAAGGTTGTTTGAGAAGGTGGCTGGATAGCAGTTTTAGAAGGACTTGGAGGAAGTTGATTATCTGGATCTGTTTCAGCCAAGTCTGAGGCCAAGATATAGTAGAAAGACAGTACTGGTAGCGCTTGTGGATAATTTGTGGTGGGCCTGGGATGGGGGCATTCATCCTTGTGCTTCTTGATCTCTTAGTAGCTTTCTATACCATTGACCATGGAGGAGTGGACTGGCTTCAGGGCTTGGGAGTGGAGGAGTGCTGTGCTTCAGTGGCTGATTCCAGTACAGGAGGGAAGAGATTACATCCAAACTTGTGGAGTACTTCAATGTTCAATGCTGTTACTCCCTCTTTTTAATATCTACAATATATGAAACCACTGGGTGAGGTCATCATTCAATTTGGGATTTGGTATCAGTACATTGATGATACCTGATTGTACATCACAACCAGGATTGTGCAGGTAAAGCTATCAATTGACTAAACTGACCCATCATCTGGAAATTAGTTGGGTCTAGATGTGGAGGAAAAGATTGACTCAGTCTTGATAAAGCTGGCAATGGCTTTGTGCATATTTGCCTTTGGTCTTAAATGAGGCTGCATTTTCCCAGTTAAAGTTAGTGTGCAACTTGGGAGTCCTTTTGGACTCGCAGATATTCTTCAAAAGACAGAAGCCAGTTTTGGCCATGAGGGACTTTTCTCATTCAGGAGGCCCTATAGATGGTCACATATACTCTAGTAATCTCACAATTGGAATACTGAGATGTACTCTACATGTGGTTGCCTTTGAAGATGAATTGGAAGCTATAAGTCCAAAATGCAACAGTGCAGGCAGTAGTGGGCATTCCTTACTATGTCCATGTGTTATTGTTGCTATGTGAGCTACATTGGTAGCCATTCAGCTTCTGGGTGCTGGTCATCACCTGCAAAGTCCTTCAGAGCATAAAGTCTGATCATCTCAGGAAATGCCTATCTCCGGTTTTTCCTGCTCATCTGGTACCCTCCAGGACCCTTCAATTAAATGTTGCCATCTTGTAGGATTGAGGCAGCATTTTCTGTCACAACCCCTGCCCTCCAAACAGCATTCCATGGGAGAAATATACAACTTCCATTCTCCAAATGTTCTGGAAATTGCTGAAAACCTGGCACTGTTCCTAAAATTTGGGTTAGTATATTTGTGGGTCAAATCATTCCTGAAAGTTATTGATGTTATTTCGTTCAGGCAGCCATGTTTTTCAACTATGTATTTGAAATATTGCAAGCTGCCCAGAGCCTTTTTTTAGAATTGAGTGGATCCAAAAATATTAATAGAACAATAAAATAAAATAATCAAGTATTTCATTCCTAATACTCCCTCCTCCAATTTCCCCCAAGAAGAAAATACATTGGACTCAGAGACAGTAATTGGTCCCAGATCATCCAGTGAACTTCCATGGCTGAAGATAGATTTGAACTAAAGTCTCCCCAGTCCTCATCCAACTCTTAACACGAAGCTAGTTGGGACGCATGAGTCAAGTAGAGAAAGTGGAAGAGTAACCAAGAAATTTTGAGTACCAGTATGGGGTGAGCATTTAATTCATTTCTGTCTTGGACAATTGTTCTTCTCAATGTTGGTTTACCAGCTACATTCCTTCAAGGTGAAACAGTTTTTTTTCTTTTTCTTTTTTTTAAAATGCATATTATGCATATGGTACCACATCTCCTTTGGCCTTGAAACTTGAAGTAAATGAAGCCATTCTCAGAAAGGATGGCAAACAGGTTGACAATACAAATTTTAAAAGGATATAAATCTCCCCCCTCCCCTTTTAGAGAGTTTATAATTTTAGTCCTTCAAGAAGAGTTTTTAAAAAATGAACAAATAGATATAGCAATGATTAATTCTGCAAAAGCAATTAATGTTTATTTTTGAGATTATAGGCTTTTGCCCCATTTTCCAAGACTTTTGAAAGCAAATTAACAGAATGTATTCTATATACTACCCATTTCTCCTAATTACTTATCATCTGCCCTTCCCTGTTAAGCAGATTTATCTGTTCACAGGCATCCCAGCTACTTTGTACACACAACTCCTCTGGATGGTAAATGCACCAAGAGTACATGCCAGAACTCTGTGTCTGCTTGAGCATAAGCCTTTACTGCTCTGGGTGGAACTTATTCTTTAGTCATGCATTCTACGAACCAGGCAGCTTCACTGTGAGATGAGAAGAGCATCTGATGGGCATTAAATATGGCTGAAATCCTATGCACAGTGGAGCCTGCATCCAAGTCAATGTGCAAGCATCTCATGCCTAAAATGTCATGTTGCAGAGGTATCCTTTGCATTTCTCCCCACGGAGGTAGGAGTGGGTGTTGTTAGACTTAGAAAGCAGTATTTCTCAAAAACAGCATGCATTGCAATTACTATAAAGCTCTAATAGAAAGGAGAGGGCCGACTGAATTAATATTTAAAGCAGGGATTGCAATTTTAAAGCCTGCACAACTCCGTGAACACAACAACCACCACAATATATTCAGAAGACACTCTCCTCACCTCACAGTAACCATTTCTTGGCTTTCTAAACTGCAGCTCGGAAGCATCTATGACTCAGCAAAGGGATCTGATTTTATTTTTCAGATGGAACTTACCAACACGATAAGACATTAAGGGGTGGTTCGGCTGTCACCATCCAGAGCTGAACGGTATCTCTGAAGCAATGCTGGTTGCTTCTCCCCCATCTCTTCCTATGCTATGAAAACAGGGAACGTTGGTTTTCATCCAGCAAAGAGCAGGGAAAAACAATTCACACAGAATGTCACTTAGAAATTACCATATATATTTTTCACATAACATGCTGTGGATCTGGAAAAGGAAAGAAACAAAGAGGAAATTGGATGGGCAGGGGAAAATAATGCTCAAAAAAACTGGAGATGGGGAGTTTGTAAACTAGCTGAAAGTAGCCATCTATTCCCATTTGAGGGTATTCCAAAAATAGGAAACTGGTTAAAACATAGTATCAAACCTAGGAGGGTATTTTAATTTTTACTGAAGTTTAACTTCAATTTGCTTTATTCTTTAAACATGACAGTTTGCTCAGGTCGTCCAACTAACTTTGTGTCTAAAGTGGAACTAGAACTCACGGTCTCCCAGTTTCTAGCCTGATGCCTTAACTGCTACACCAAACTAGTTCTCTAAATTAGACTTAATATAGGGAAAATAACCAATTTTTTTAAAAAAAACCCTCTCCATATTCTTTTCCCCCAAAGGAAAACATCTTGACTTTTTCCACACAAATATCATGGGCATCCTTACTGTGGCCCTCACTTCTCAAAAAGCTTTTGGGTGAATTCAGCAAATGCCTTTATTCTAAAACACAACTAACTAAAAGGAGCCAAATCAACTGTCGTTTAAAAACTGCTTTGTTTCAACAAACGTAGCAGAGTTGAGGATCATACTAAATTGTGATTAAAGGAAAAGTTGAAATTGTGAATGCTGAGGATCTTTTCATGGCTATGATTGAGGTCATAAAACTAAGAGCCTTTGAGAGTCAAAGGCTTATCTTGTCCTGATCTCACAGCATTATATCATAGATTGATATTATAAATAAACTGAATCAAACGTTGTCCAGATTTTTGATCTTGATATAAGCAATGGAGTTATATAACTCCCAGAATTGGCCACCCAACATGACCTGCATTGAAAATTGTGGAAGTCTAGATATTTGGAGGAGACGATGGTTGGAAAAGCTTAGATGACATATAGCTGTGTTTGCACATTACATTCAGTCATAGGCTGGCTTATTTTGGTTTTGTATCAATGTGTAATGTGAACATATCATTGCAATCGTGGTGAACATGTCATTTTCACATATCTGGTGAGAAAAATCACTAAAAAAGTTGTAACAACTACTTATGTCCCAAAGGTGCTGACTGAATAACTGAAGAAGCTTCTAGGATGAGAGGTGAAATGTCTTCAAGGAAAAACAAAAAAGGTCCAGTTGCCTCTTGAAAAAGCACCTTTGGGACAGCCATGACCTGGAAGACTGGGAATCTCCATAGACAACAACCACATATGTTTATTTGTTAATTGTGAAATTATAAAAATAAATGCAAGGATCAAAGTATTTGGTCAGCCAGTTAGATGTGTGGCCTATTTGAATATCATATATCTTGGATAATGAATGTATTTAATGTTAAGCAAAACTATTTTGGTGGCTGTCCAGTAATAAGAAGGAGAAAAACTGAGGGGAAAGGTTTAATAATATATTACATTTATTTTTTAACTATTGTGCTGGCGGTTTAACTGGAATGGTGTTAAACTTCCCTGAATCTTCTAATCTCCCCGTTCTCTTTTTAAATGTAATATATTTGACCTACCTGTCTAACAAACACGTTTTATATTCTATAGAAGTGATAATGGAAATGGTATGGATTCATGTATATGAGTTGGGGAAATTGTTGCCTGAGGATAATGTTTTTTTGTTACCCAAGAAAATGGAAAGGAACAAGATTGGGATATTCTAGTATAATCAGTCTGAGATATTGATGGGACATTTCTCAAAGGCCAGCAGTGGAACAATGTTTTCTGATTGCCAGACAAGGTTCAAATCTTTTTATAACTGATGTGTCACTCACACAATTCTTTCCCTGAGAATATTCAGAAATGAAAAGAGAAATGACAGAATAGTTCTCCCTGTGGGCTCATACAGACTTAGGTCTAGTCTGGCCTTCAATCCTTATCTACTTTGAAATGATTACAGTTACTTTGCTGCATCTTGACAAGGGCAGAAAGAACTTTTGTCTCAAGAACAAAACTAACTTTTGCTTTTTGCTTGGCCTAAAATATGTTCAAAAGTAAGTTTGAGCATAAAGCGTAATTTCTTTAAGTAAAAAGCAATTTCTGACAAGCCAAAAATACATCCACCTGTTGTGTCACTGCTTTGGAAGGGACATTTAGACTGCTGAGTCCCTGCTTGCTGTAGGAATCCAAATTAAAGTCATTTTTTGTGTGATAGGCGGCCATATAAATTTGATAAATTTATTTATTAAATTTATATGGCCACCAGTCTCACAAAAAGTGACTCTGGGCAGTGTTCAGCAATGAATTAAAACAACAAGTGTATAAAACAATTGTTATTAAAAATATTAAATAGTCATTATTAAAATAAATAAAACCACAGGTGAGACTGAATGTCATTCACAATGATGGAACCATCATCAGATTTCATCATTTCCCTGGGATGACAAAGCCACATCTTGAAGGACTTTCTGAATATTAGCAGGGATAGAGGCAACCTAACTTTAGGGTGGGGGAAGAAAGCTCCATGAAATGGGTGCCATGGCAGAGAAGGTCTACCGCATGGGAGCCACCCAAGAGGACCGGAGATCCCTAGTGGACAGGACCCAGGCCCACAGCATGTTTTCTCTACCTGACCTGATGGGGGATAGGCTGACGTAACTGAGGAGAGATGATCCCTCAGATGATGTCAATCACATGCTCTGAAGGGCTTTAAAGATTGAAAACAGCATCTTGAATTGGACCAGAAGCAAACTGGCAGCTTTTGCAGTTCTCAGAGCAGAGATGTAACATATGAACAGTTCTAGCACACAACTGTACCAGCTGAAGCTTCCAAGATATTCTTCAATAGCAGCCCCATGAAGAATTCATTATAGTAATCCAATTAGGAAATGACTAGGATATGATGACCATGAGGGAGCCCTTGATCTAGGAATTGGGGGGGGGGCAACTGTACACAATTGGAACAGGCAAGGAAGGTATCAACAAATCAATATAATGTTATGGCAGCACAATGCAAACTCTGCCATTTTTGAATGTGTGTTGATGTTGAACACACATACAAAAAGGCAGGTCTTGCACTGTGCAAATAGCATCTTGCCTTTTCTGATGCCCTCTCTTTCAAGGATGGTATTATGTCTGGATAAGTGACTCCGCTTCTGGATGCTGAACTGCTCTTATAGTTAGGATGTTTGGGTGAAAAATTGCATGAGATTCTGCACTGTAGTCCAGAGCAATGAAGTAGCATTCCAAGGCCTCATTTGGGAAAAGCCAGATGTCAAAGGTAGTTTGTAGTTAAAATAGGGAATTCAACTTTTGGTAAGTCTTATCATTGTTCTTTCAAATACTTTAGATCTGAATCCTAAAAATGCAATTGCTTAAGTTATTTAAGACTCCTTGTTTTGTTTTGTTTTTTTACTATACAGGTAGTTATTGACTTACAACAGTTCATTTAGTGACAGTTCAAGTTACAACAGCACTGAAAAAAGTGATTTATGACCATTTTTCACACTTACGACCATTGCAGCAGCCCCATGATCATGTGATCCAAATTCAGATTCTTAGCAACTGACTCATATTTACGACGGTTGCCGTGTCCCAGAGTTATGTGATCCCCTTTTGTGACTTCTGACAAGCAGAAGTCAATGGGAAAACCACATTTATTTAACAACCGCCTTACTAACTTAACAACTGCAGTGATGCACTTAACAGCTACGGCAAGAAAGGTCGTAAAACAGGGACAAAACTCACTTAACAGCAGTCTCGCTTAGCAACAGAAGTTTTGGGCTCAATTGTGGTCGTAAGTCAAGGACTACCTGTAGCAAGCAAATAGACTTTTAGAAATCCTTGCCTTTTTTGGGCTATTCAGTAACAGAGCACAAGCAGCGGCAAGAATATAAATTTCAAGCCTTTATGAATTAAAAGAAGAAAAAGATGATGATGGAGGAGGAGGAGGAGGAGGAGGAGGAGGAGAAGACAAACTGTATCTCTTCTGGACATGAAGGAGAAGAGAAGTGAAGCGTTCAAGTGTTGCTTCTTCAAGTCTGCGCTTGTCCCGAGGCTGTCTGTCTCTCCCATTGCAAAGCATTAGCGTTTTTCAAAGTCAGCCCTTCTTCTCAATGACCCATATTAGGAATGAGTGGCAGAGATGAGAACCAAGAGCTGCAAGACTTTGAAAACAGGCCCAGGGCAATGAAAAAACCTTTTGATTGTAAGTGTGGGAGGGATATTGAGCCATATAGATAGAGCAGTAATTATCCAGAAGCCTCTTTGAAAGATAGAAATCAGAAGCCCAGTCATCAAATTGCTAATTTATCCTCCTTTTGAGGGCAGATCCTTTGCTCTTGAAAATAAACGACCTCCTTTCCACACGGTACATTTGGCATCCTTCTTGCAAACGCCCGGCTCAGATAAAGACCCTCCAATTCTCCTGACAGCGTGTTTCACAATAATCAGTTATGAAAGAAGGAAGGAAGGAAGGAAGGAAGAAGGAAAGAAAGGAGAAAAGAAAGAAAAAAAGGTGGTCCTCGAGTTACGACCACAATCGAACCTAAAATTTATGTTGCTAAGGGAGAAATGTGTTAAGTGAATTTTGCCCCATTTTTATGACTTTCCTTGCCACGTTTGTTAAGTGGATCACTGCAGTTGTGAGCTTAGCGACACCGTTGTAAGGTAAATCCGGATTCCCCCTTGACTTTGTGGATAAGATGGTCACAAAATATGATCATGTGACCCTGGGGACATTGCAGCCATCATAAATATGAAGTAGCTGTCAAGCATTGGAATGTAAATCACATGACCGTGGGGATGCTGCAACAGTCATGTGAAAAATGATCAGAAGTCACTTTTTTCAGGGCCGTTGTAACTTCGAACGTTCGCTAAATGAACTATTTAAGTCAAGGACCACCTGTAAATAAATCAGTACTAAAAACACTAACAGAAAAGATGCTTCTT